GCACGAGGGGAGGCCCGCCGCTGTGCAGAGCAGCCTGTCTTAGCGCGCAGCAGCCCCCAGAGGGGCAGGCAGGCTCCTGAGGTGCAGTGCAGAGCTGCGGCCTTGCAAGCCCCTTGGCGGTGGTCTCGTGCCTCCAGAATCCCACAGAACCCACCCAGCTCCTCCTCAAGCCGCTCGCCCTGCCTTTAATTCGGGGAAGGCCCGGCCTCCTGTGTGTGTGGATGCTTTGCTTTCCTTTTCATTGTAAGTGTTTTCATTGTGTTTTTTTGTGTGTTCACTTAGCCCACAAAGACGTATTAAGCACCTTCTTTGTGCCAGGGACTGTGGTAGGCGCTGGAGTCACAACGGCGAAACCACGTGGGGCAGGTAGGTGATGGCGACGATGATGGTGGTGACTGAGGTGGAATCCACACAACACACAACCAAACACCTTAGTGTGCAATTCGGCGCATCCGGTGCATTCCTCTGGTGCAGGCACCACCTCTCTCGTCGCTCCAGCAGAGCACCCTGCACCTGTTCCACAGTCATTTCCTGCTCCCCACGTCCACCCATCCATCCGTCTGTCTGTCCGTCCACACGTGCGTCCCCCGGCAACCTTTAACCTGCTTTCCCGCTCTGTGGGTTTGCCCGTTCAGCACACTCCACATGAAAGGGATCCCACAAGGTGCCACCTTCTGCATCTGGCGTCTCTCACTGGGCATCGTGTCTCCAGGTTCCTCCGTGCCGCAGCGGGTGTCGGAATCTCCTTTGATCCCGATCAGGGACCTGTCAGCCGCCACAATCATATCAGCTAATTCCTTATAATAACTCTCTTTACATAGCAAAGATCTGTATTTGTGTGTCTTCATCTATACACTGGTATCTGTCTACACCTCCGATCGCTTCTGTTTCTCTGGAAGACCCCAACTCGCACAAGTCAGTTGTCTCTTTGTTGTTGAGTGGTAAGAATTCCTTACGTGTTCATGATGCTAAACCCTCACCAGATACATGATTTGAGATAGTTTTCTTCCCTTTAGGAAGACAGATGGTTAGAGAAGCGACACAGGTGAGGCGGAGTGGGAGCTGGAGGAAGCACAAAGGGCAGAGCAAGAGCCGCTCAGAACGGGCGCTCTGTGAGAGTGGGTCTCGCCTTGTTTATTTGCTGTGGGACCCTCATTGGGCCTGGCACATAGTAGATGCTCAGTAAACAGTTACAAGTGAAAACGAGGACCCAGACTTGGGTATCGGTGGGAGTGCAGAAGGCTTCTCCAAGGCAGCCTCTTAGCTGAGGCTTGAGCCTTGCCCAGGACTAGCCGGGCGGGGCAGGGACAGTGGTCCAGGCGGAGGGAACAGCCTGAGTGGGGGCCTGGAGGGGGACAGAGGACATGGTGTGCGGAGGGCTGGAGCGTGCGATCCAGTTAGAGCATGTTGCTCAGCTGTGTGGTTTGGGCACGTTACCTAACCTCTCTGAACCTTAGTTTTTCCCACCTATGAAAACAGAGGCTGTCCGCTTCCTTGGAGGGCACGGGGCGGATTAGGAGGTGGCACTACTAGATGCCTGGCAGCCAGGCTGCAGCGGCGGACTGGGGAGGAAGAGGCGGACTGGGGGGGGGCAGCTCTACAAGCCCATGCTGAGAGAGCAGAGGGTCCCCACCCTGACTCTCCATCCACTCTGACCCTCCCCGCTCCCCGACCGCCCTCCCTCCCTCTTCCTCCGCACCTCTGCATCCTCTCCCTGCTCCGGGACTGGACACTCAATCCATCACTCAGCCCTCTGCCCCGCTGCAGCCTCATCCCACTCTCACCGAAAGCCACTCAGGACGCGGTCTGCCAGCTCCTCCCCTGGCCCAAGCCGCCACCCCACCCCCAGCTGCTCCCAGCCTCCCCCAGACAGAAGGGGGACCGAGATGACAGATGGGGTTCCTCTGAGCATGACAATGAAGAGGAGACTGTGCAGCTGATGAGCAAACCCAGATGGGGGGGGTGAAGGGTGGGGCCGAGGTGCTGGGTGATGGGGAACCAGAGGCTGGTGGGTGCTGGGCCTGCGAAGGGCGTGCTGGGCTGGGGGGCTTCCCCTGTGCCCCGCCCTCCGTGCTGGGTTGGAAGGTCTCCGTGGAGTGGGGACCAGGAGGTTGGTGGGAGCGGGAGGTTGGAGTCCCTGCCCTGCTCCACTCTCCTTCTGTGGCCTTGACTGAGTCCCGGGCCACCTTGGGCCTCCGCGGCCATGTCTGGGTCATGTCGTCCTTTCGTGTGCCAGGCTCTGGGGTCCAGCAGAGCACCCCTGCCCCAAAGGTGCTCTGGAGCATCTTGGGGTCTCTGGGGGACAAGGCTGCCAATGGATTGTCACACTTTTCCCTCCCATTTCACCTGCAAGAGTACTTTCCAGGGGAGGGCAAGTTCAAGGGCTCTGACGCCAACAGGGGATATCCACTCTAGGAGGCTTCACTGAGGACAGATGGGACGGAGCCAGGGGGAGGGGGTGGGAGGCAGGGAGTGCAGGAAGGTCCAGCTGGGCTGAGGGGACAGTGTGGAGGGGCGCAGAGGGAGGAGGCCGCGTTGGAAGCTGGGTGGGAGGCGGAGGCTGGGCCGGCCCTGTGGGCGAGGAAGGCTGTGCCTGGGTTTTTATGCTATAAAATGACTCGTAGAAAAATGTATTATAAAAATATTGTAAAAGGATAAATAAAATAGGATTATTTTCTTCTCTCATAGGGCAGTCCCTGGGCAGCTTTAAGCAGGAGAATAACAGATATGTTTGGAGAGAGCCCTGGACCAGGAGGGGGAGGGGAGGTCAGGGACTGGCTAGGAGGCTGCACACTTGCGAGGGGGGTAGGAGGGGGGTTGGCTGGGGCAGCGCCCACCAGCAGCTCTCCCAGCCTGGCTGAAACCGGGGAACCTTCGCCCAGGGGTAAAGGTCCCACACCGTAGAGATGCCAAATCTGAGTCGGGAACAGTGGCGTGGGTAACGCTTCAGAGAAAGAGATGCCCAAAGTCTCCACCCAGGCTGGGACGGGCCTGGGTCCTGGCAGCAGAGGTGGTGGAGAGGGGACGGGGGAGGGGCAGGGCGAGCGGAGAGCCACGTGGGAGGCAAGAGGGAAGGGTGATGCCAGTGACTGTGGGTGTCAGTGTCCCTTCCCATCACGTGCCCTCTGACCACCCCGCTGTTCCCCTCCCACCCCCCAAGGTGCCCCCACCTGGTCCTGACCTTGCCCTGCCCAGGCTGTAGGTAAATTCTTTCCAGATCAAGGGCTCTGGATCCAGTGTCCTGTGTCCCCCCAGCGGCCTTGCTCTCAAACACGCGGGGCTGCTCCCTGGCGCCACCTGGAGTCTGAACTGCATGTGGGCTGTCATGTGAGTGTGGGGCCAGGGGGCCTCAGGACCGCCCAGGCCAGCGCTGTCACCCTTGACCTGACCTGCCTGTCCGTCTTGCAGGCCCTGAGCGGGTTTCCAGGGCAGACACTCTGGCTGCCCGGCCTCACCCGTCCTCAGTGTCCACAGTCCGCCGTTAGCCCCCACGGGAAACCTCCATCGACCTTGGCCGCTGTCGCGAGCACATGAGTGTGGATGCACCCGCACTCCCGCCTGCCCGCTCGGATACAGGGGCTCCCACAGACCGGCCTGCAGCCTCCTCCACCGGCTGAGCCCCGCACCTCCTCTCTTCCTCTCCCTTCCCCTCCTCTCTTCCTCTCCTGTTGGGGTCCCACCCCACGTTCTCGTCCCCAGGCCCCTCCCAGGCCTGGGCTGCCAGCTGCCACCCAGGGAGGTAGCCTGACCCCTGACCCCTGACTCCTGAAGTGCTGGCCAGCTCTGGGCCTTGCCCTCCATGAGCGCCTTCCCTGGCAGCCCGCCACAGCGACACCTCGGGCCTGGGGAAGTCCCCGGGGCCCCTCTCTGTGTGGGGTCTGGGACCCGACCCGTGGCAGTGAGAATGCCACTCCCACCGCAGGCTGCATGGGGACAAGCAGAGGCCACCCTGCAGGGCTGCTGCCATGTCTGCCACCAAGCTTACGTCCCCGCCTCTGAGTTCCAGAGGGACATTCTCCCAGCGCTCAGGCCGTGGGCTTCCGGTGTGACTGCCGCCGCCTGTCCCCACAGGTCGCGCCCCCAGAATGGGCCAGCCAGGGACCCCATCTGGGACCGGTTCCAGGAGGGACACAGGCTCTGGAGGGAACTGTGCAGTGGGGTCCTGGCTCCACCCCTTCCTGGCGGTGCGACCTCGGGTGAACGTGTAACTTCCCTGGGCCCAGGTTTTCTGGTCTGTGCGGCGCAATGATGCTCCCCCTTCACAGGGCGGTTGTGCAGATGGAATCATGGGAAGGGCTCAGTGCGGAGCAAGTGCTCAATGAGCATTAGCTACGGCATTAATGGGACTAAATCCGTGGCCTTCTGATGCAGTGAATGGGAAAGAGAGCTCTTTTTTATTTTTTATTTTTTCACTGGTTTTGCTGAATGCACACCCGGAGCTGCAGGGAAATCTTGCCACCATGTGTGGATCCAGCACAAGGGAAGGCAGTGCTCAGAGGAGGGGAAGAAGGACTGAATTCTGGTGGCATCTTTGAGTCCCTTGATCCAGCTGTTCCTGAAGACCCCACCCTCGACTATTTGGGTACATAACCAATCACGTCTTTGTTTTTTTTCTTCCTTTTCTGCTTAAGTCACTTAGAGTTTGGTTCCTGTCATTTGTACCAAAAGAGTTTTAATGGATGTCTATCCATCCGTCTGCCCGTCCATCCATCCACAGGTCCTAGCTGTGTGGGCTTAGACCCATCACTTCCGCTCTGAGGGTCCGTAAACTGGGAGGTTCGCCACTAACCTCAGGGGGGTGGCATCAAGGACTCATGCGTGACCTCTGTGGAGTGCAGTGCTCAGTAACAAATGCAGAGGAGGGCTCAGTAGATTTCTCTTCCACCCCATGTTTTTCTGTCCAAATCCTGCCCCCAGCCCTGCACAGGTGTGTCTGGAAGCCCAAGGTAGGACCCACGCCCTCCCCAACCCCTAGTCCTGGACCCTTCTGAGCGGCAGAGTCCAATTGGTACAGCCTTTATTGTTTCTCTAGCATTTTCCAGAAGAATGGTGTCATTCGAGGGCCAAAGGGGGGCAGGGAGGAGTAAAAAATAACATAAACAAACCGAACAGAAACGCAGGAGGGCAGCAAGAGGAGCTGAGATGGGGGGTTTGGGGCGGAGAGGTGGGAGACCCGGGGCAGTCAGGGCCGCTTAGCTCTCGGCCACCAGAGCGGAGAATTCTGCAAAAGAAAAGAAGAGAGAGGTGAGTCAGAGGTGGGCCCCGGAGAAGAGGCTGGTGCGGCCGATCGCCCGGCCCCTGCGCGGGGCTTTCTCTCGGCATTCACATCTGCCGCGGGAGTCCTGGTGTGATGGGCCAAGTGAGTGCGGGGATGAATGAATGAATGAATGAATGGATGGAGGTGGGAGGTGGTGAGCCTCCCGTACCTGCCACGTCATGATGTCACCCAGCCCACGAGTTGTTAACAATGACTACAGTCCTAACGGCCACGAGCACTTTCTGAAAGTATCACACACCAGTCGCTGTGACTTGAGCACTGTATATACAACACTGTACTTGACCCTGACCCTGACCCTGACATGTGCACTTGATCACTATTCCCATTCCGCAGACAAGGAAACTCAAGCTCAGGGGCCAGCAGTCTTTACAAGCTCACGAGAAGCAGGGCCGGGACTCAGACCCAGGTCTGAGACCCACGCCCTCAGACCAGGTCGGGGGCTTCCCCCAACCCTGTGGCTCCGTGAGGCAGGCGGTTCTTTTGAGATGCCTTTTATCATCGGTGCTCTCCCTGGCCGATGCCGCCCATTTATACAGAATCTGGACACTCTTATTTATTCAACGCCTACAGGGCCAGTGCTTTGCCGGTGTCACCTCATTAAACTCTCACCACCACCCCGCGGGAGGGATGCTTTTGGCGGCATTCACAGAAGGGGAAACTGAGGCCCAAGGGTGCAGGAGCTCGGCCACCATCGCGTGGCGAGCGCGATTCAAGCTGCACTCACGGGCTTCCTTCTCAACCCGGAGGTCCCCGACCCACTTCGACCCAGGTGTAGAGCGACCCGCGGGCCAGCTCACATGTCGCCGCCCCCAGGACCCTGCCGGGTCAGCCCCTCTTCACGCCCTTCTCGGTTCCTAGCACTGTCAGGAATGGTCTTGTGTATGCATGTATTTGTATCGGTCGGCCCTGCTGAAACGGAAGTCCCAGGAGGGCGGAGCCCTGGCTTGTTCCCCACCCTCCGCGCAGCGGAAGGGACCCGGCACACGGCGGGTGCCGATGAACACGTGCCAGATGGAGGGACGGGTGGATGGGTGGGTGGATGGACAGACAGATGGACGGACGGATGGGTGGATGGCTCACGGGTCCTCCTTAGGGGTCGACAAGTACCAACTTACCTCACATACTTCTCACGCCAGCCGGGGAGGAAACTGGGGCAATCCCCACGTTACAGACGGGGAGACGGAGGCCCGAACGGGAAAGTGTCCAGGCCGCGCGGAAAGTAACGGAGGCAGGGGCGGGGCTTGGCCTGGGCTGCCCCGAGGACCCCCACGTGGGCGCGGCCAGGCCGTGCCTGAAGGGCCGGCCTCCCACTGGGGGAGGGGGGAGCACCAGCTCCCTCCAGCTCCAACCTGCCATTCATCCTACAAAACTGGCCCAGCCAGCACGCCCTGACCTTGGGCACCGAGGTGCTCTGCCCCGGGACAGAGCAGGCAGGATCCGCCTGCCAACACCAGCTCCTGCAAGACCGCCAAGAGGGGGATCAGGTCGTCACGTTTCCCGCCCTGCACCGACCTCTCTGACCCTCGCCCTGGAAACGACAGGTCGGTGAAGTGCCGTTTACCACCTTCCTCCGGACAGCGCTGGGTGCTGTCAGGGTGAGGGGCTCTCCAGGGGTGGGAGGTTCAGCGTTTTGAAGTCTGACTGTGGGAGAGATTTTGGAGCCCCGGGGTCTTTGAAAAGCCTCTGAGAAGACTCCAACCCCGCCGCCCGCCCCGTGATCCGCTCTGAGGCAGCTGGGGTGTCGCGACGGCCACGCGCCCCGGCTCTCTGCGGAGAACCTGGGATTCTGGTGTTGTCCTCCCAGAACCCGGGGAAGGGCACTTGGCAGACGAAGGGAGGGCAGGGGTCAGCTCTTCTGCTCAGCCTGCACCTCCCTCGGGGCAGAGTTCCTAGGAACCAGCCAATTAACAAACAGCCCTCCCATCAGAAGAGGTCTCCTCTAAAGCATCCACCCCCGCCCTTAGGACAAAGCAAATGAGCAAACACATGAAGACCTTGTCCAGTCCCAGCCCGCTGGTTTGGTGGCGGGATGTAGGGAGGGGGGATGGGGCGTCAGAGGACAGGGTGTCTGTCCGTCTCAGCTCTGCCATCATGCCTGTCCCTGGGCAGGACCCCTCACCCCTCCGGGTCTGGAAGACTCATCCCCCAGTCTCCCACAGCCTCTGGAGCAAGGGAACCAGGAGTCCACGCCCAGTTCCCACTTCTTGCTTCTGTGACCTTGGACTTCACCTCATCGTGCCTCAGCTTTCCCATCTGTGGAACGGTGCTCCTTGGGCTGCTCAGAGGAACCAGCATAAAGCTCTGGTCACGGGCCTGGCCTGCAGCCCGCACCCAGCACCCAGCACTCAGTAGCAGTTGCCATTGAGATGCTTCTGCAGCGCCAGCTCCCTTCGCCACGAGCCTACGGAACGCCCGGCTGCTGCCTGGCGTGGGTACTCTGGTGGCCACAGTCCTTGTTTCCCGGCCTTGCTGTCGTCCCCACCATTTCTTGTCCCTGACTGGTACCCGTGTGCAGCCTCCCAGCAGCCCTGGAGCTGGGTCTGAACCCTGTTCCATCCGGTCCTGACTGGGTGGCCTTCGGTCACCACTTTCCTCTCCGAGCCTCAGCGCGCACATCTGGGAAGTGGGTGTGATGACCCTACTCGCACGGCGGTTGGGAAGCCCAGCGGAGCAAATACAGAAGGGGCCCGGCACACGGGGCGTGGTCTAGCGCGTCAGGCCCCGCCCCCTCGGAGCTCAGCAGGACTGACACAGGCCGGCGCTTTGATATAACACCGGTAACAGCCCCCCGCTCCCCATCAAGTCCTGACACTAAGACAAGGAAGCTGTAAAGTGACAGAGGGCACAGGAAGCCTCAAGAGCAAGCGGCTGACCTGGCAGGCGTTTCTGACACTGTCCGTCCCCTCTGGGGTAGGACCCCAGCCCCAGCACGCCCGCCCACGGACGCAGCCCCCGACCCTCCGGCTCCGCGTCTGTACAGTGGGCCGCCGGAGTACCCCTTCACAGGGCGGGGGAGGGCTCCATGAGACAACGGCTGAGAGGAGCCTCACGCGGCGACGCCTGGCACAGCCACAGCGCAACGACATCGATCTCATTGCTGAGGGGGGGTGTGTCTGGGGAGGGGTCCAGAGGCTCTCTTCCCATCGCCGTGCCAGTCAGCGCTGCCTTTGCGGTGGAAGCCCCCTCCCCCACCCCAAGGCCCCCGGGGCCATTCGATCCAGAGAGACAGGGCCGGGCTTGCGGTGGGGGCGGCAGACACCTGGTCAGAGGACGGGAGGACTCGGCCCCGTCCTTTCCCTTAGGAAACTGAAATTAGCCTAACTAGGTCTGTCCCAGTGCTGGGTGCTGTGGGGACCGGACAAATTTAGAAGTCATTGACAGATGAGACCAGCACTCGCTGACAGCCCCGGTGAAACTGAGACAGACATTGAGTCAGCGCCTGGAAGGCTCTCCCCTCCCCTCTGTCGTGGGGACCAGGACGAAGGCACCGCGGCACCGGCCTCCCGGTTTATCACCTCACCTCTAAATAGCTCCGGGGCCGGGTTCCTTACCAATTGCTACGGCAAACAGATCGCTTTCCAAGCCCAGGAGAATGGGGAGGCAGGGTCATCCGGGGTCACACCGGACGGGCTGCAAGGAGCCTCTGTCAACAGTTCGGGGGGCCCAGGCTGTGCGGGTCACTGCCTCGCCTGCCATCCCAGGTCATCCTCGCCTGCGCTCTTGTCCCCGTTTTACCTACGGGGACACTGAGGCTGGGAGTCACTGAGCCAAGGAGATTCTACCTCAGGCGTGGCCCAGGCTGGGGTGTGTCTGGGCCCCCGAGGCTGCGGTTGCACAGCCCCAGGTTCTGACTCCAGCGGTGACCCATAAGGGCAGGGTGGGGTGGCGCACTCCTGCTCTCGGTCGCAGGAGCGTGGTTACGTGAGGAGCGCCACTTTCTCTGCCTCCCCCATGTCCCGTCTAGTGCAGCGCGAGGCCGGCCTTAGGGAGGCCCATGCGGGAAGTACAGCCGGCGTTTTGCTAAGCACAGGAACCATTTATAACTCGAACGTATCCACTCAGCCTGGAGGCGGGAGGGGCAGAGTCGGGAGCCCCAGTTCCCTTCGACCGGGGATCCGCCCTGTGACTCTGGAACACCGTGTCTGCCCGGCCTCCGTTTCCACATCTCTCAGTGCCAGTCACAGACCCGGTCAGGCTGCCAGAGGATGCACCGAGATGGGATTGCGGGCAGGCCCTGGCGGGCGGCGCGTCCCACCTGGCTCGGAAACCTAACGCCGGCGGGACTGGACGGCTGGAATTACAGGAGGCGGCAGCGGCGGCAGCGGGAGGCACGTGGGGGAGGCCTCCTTCCCTCCGTCCCACTTCCCTCCCGTCTTGGACTCGATGTCGTCTCCTTTGAGGGCTGGGATCCCACTGTTTCCAAAGGGGTTCGGGGTGGCTCACAAGACAAAGCATCCCCGTAAAATGGGAGAAAGGAATCACTTCCAGAACACTCCCTCCGTAGGTGTATCCCTGTCGGGCTGCAGTTGGGTTCCTGCCTGACGGCAGGGTTCCGGCCGGAGCTCCCTCCCTCACCCCCACCGCCCCCGTGGAATAGGCCCCTCCAGGACAACAGAGAGCAGAGTCCGCCAGGAGGAAGCGGAACAGACAAATGCCTGGAGACACGCGAAGGCGCAGACAGTGGAGCTTAGGCGATCGTTACGACTTCATTTTTTAGCAACAAAGGCAAAAAGCAAACCACAGCCTCTTGTGTTACACGGGCCGGGAGTGCAGGAGACAGGGTCGGGTTTCAGGGGAACGTAGCCGCGGTGGGAGCGGGTGCATGGTGGGAGGGGCGGCACACTGGGGGTCTGAGGGGCAGCGTTTGGATAGCTGGGTCCCCCACTGATGGCCAGCCGCCCCCTTCCCTGAGCCCCGTCCCCTGGTCTCGTGCAGCTCTGGGGGCTGATGGAGCTGAAAGAGCGAAGGCCCGTGTGCCGTTCCCCAGGGCCTGGAAGCGCCACGAGGATGGCCACCGCTGCTGCTGGCCACCTGACTGAGGTTCCGTGTGGCAGTGTGGCAGGCACCGGGTGTGGAGAGGCCTGGCCGGGGACACAGGCTCGTGGGGGAGGCAGGGTAGCAGAGGGTCCTGGCTGGACCGGCCCTGGCCACCGAGGGGGCCTGGCCACAGCACTGGCAGCACCTCCGCTTCCTCGTCTGTGAGACGGGAAGAGGCGTGAACGGTGCCCACTCTCTAGGACCCCCGTGAGGCCGTGGTTTTCCCAGTATGGTCCCCAGGGTATCAGCGCCGCCCGGGGACTCGGCAGAACTGTGGCTGGTGGGCTGCCCCCTACCCAGACCTGAGGAATCAGAAGCCCTTGGGACAGGGCACCACCTGCTGCGTCACACGAAATGCTCCGGGTGACTCTAACTCCTGACCCCCCCTCCCCGGTAGCTCAGGACGAGAACTTGAGAAGGACGCGGCCCCTCACTGTCATCGCTGGCTGTTTGTGCCCGGAATTTGCAACCACGGCTGGGATTTTGGGCAGCTTCCACCTCCGTCCAGCTCCTCCTCTGCCCCAGACGCCCCCTTGCCCAGACCTGCGCTTGGGTGGCCCTGCAGAATCAATCGACCACATCTATAAACGTCTGAGGTTCCTGGAGCTAGTTGCCCAGAGACGGGAACGCAAAGCGTTATTATTAGAACTCCGTTGTTCAGTCCCCCCCCTTCCAGCTGGGGTTCTGAAGAACATGGTGAGTGTCACTCACCTCCAGGAGGGCGAACGGCGTGGGAGACTGAGGCAGGCCGGCCCCAAGTCTAGAACCCCCGCCGCACCCGCCACACGCAAGCCCCCAGCCTCCAGCCTCCGCCGGCCGACCTCTCGCCACACACCACGCTCCCTGGTCACTGCAGCCCAGGGCTGGACACACGTCCACTCACTCACTCCACAAACTCCTCTTGTGCCCGCACCAGGTGCCAGGCCTTTCTTAGGTGCTGGGTCAGAAACGAACAAAACAAAGGCCCTGCCCTCGTGGGCTGGCACGCCAGTGTGTGTGTGTGGGGGGGGGGCACAGAAGCAAAGGGCGAGTCGACGAACACGGCATCTGACGGTGGAAGCGCACCACGCTCTGAAGGCACGGGTGAGGCAGGCGCCACACGCATGCGCCCAAGATCCAGACAGACCCGAACTCAGACCCTGACCTTGTCTCTTCCGAGGCGTGGAAGTTTGGGCAAACACTCGGCCTCCCTGAGCCTCAGCGTCCTCATCTATATATAAACGGGGGTAGTAGCACCTCACAGAGAACTGGGGAGATTCAGCGAGCAAAATGCTCAGCACCGCCGTTGAACGTCACCGTGACCGTGACTCAAGGGGGCACAGCGGAGCCTGAGAGCTGAGCTGGGCCTCTTCTAGAGGCTCGTTCACCGTGATGCCCACGGAGTCCCCAGGGCTGGAAGGCACCCCAAGTTCCGAGACTCGCCCCGGGGGCCCACCAGGAGCAGAAAGCACCCTCCAGCAGGCGGAAGGGCACAGGCCTTGCAGCCTCTGGAGGGCGCAAGCAGGCTGGCCGGAGCCTCCTGGGCCCCTGCAGTGGCTCCTCCTCCCAGCTCAGCGGCTGGTGGGCGTCGCCACGCCCACCCCGCCACCCGCCCCAGAAAGAGTGCTGTGTTGGGGGGTGAAGTGGGGACGGGGAGGCATCTCCATCGCTCCACTACAGAAGCAGGGTGCTGCCTCGCTGCCTCGGGGTGATCTGCTCTCTCTTGCCCCCCCCCCCCGCCACCCTGCTGCGCTCTGCCCCGCCCCCCAGACCTTTGCCAGGTGGACCTGAGCCCGCAAGGTGCTGAGCCAGACCTGGGTTCGAATCCACGGTCACCTTGGGTGCAGGAGCTGCTCTCTCTGCATCTACACTCGTGTCCTCTGTCACCTCAAGGTTAAATGAGGTGACAGTCATGCAGACCCCAGCCCGGGGCTGGGCACACATCGCACACCCTGGTAACACTTATCTGGGCAAACCCCGCCCTGAGCAAATCAATCATCGTGCCTCTTGGCGAGCATGCCCTAGACTCTCCAGCCTCTGTCTGTGCCTTTGCTGGCACCGACGCCTCACCCCGCCTCCCTGCCCACAGCCTCCAGACCTGCCCGAGGCCTCTGCCTCTCCACTGTGCACATCTGATCCTCCCGGCCTTGGCCTGGTGTTATATGCGCCCAGTGGGCATATACACACAGAGCCGTCAGCAACGTGCACATAGAACCGGAGTATGCCATTAGTTGAGCACTTACTATGTGCTGGGCACGGCACTCGGCACCCACCAGGCATCGTGCCACAGATGCCTCACGAGATCCCGACCAGGTATGTTGTGCCCAGTTTACAGATGGAGAAATTGAGGCTCGGGGTCGCTGAGCTGCTGCTCAGGGGCACGAGGCCAGGAAACGGTGCCTCCAGGAGTCGGGCCTTGTTCAGCTTTACCTCCCCCACTGAGCGGCCCAGGGTTGCTCCCCGGTAAGCAGAGCGAGCTCTTTGAGAACCGAGGGGGCAGCAAGGGAGGGAGGGAAGCAGGGAAGCAGGCCAGGGTCTGGCCTGGTTTCTCTCCATCACTGGGGTTGGTGAGCAGCCAGCCACGAGGGCCCCGCCTGGGGCTTCTGAGCTGTGGCACATCGGCCGCGAGTAAAACTGGGAGGCAGGTCTGGAGGCCGGGGGGGTGTGGAGGGGTCCTGGCGGGAATCCAGGCTCGGGGGCAGCTCTGTGAGGATGGGGGTGTGGGGGAGACAGGCCACTCACTGGGGTCCCCAGGACCAGCCACCGATCTCTCCCCAGCACCTCCCCTCCGGCCCCTTTAAGACCCCCTCCCTCCTTCGCAGCCACAGCCAGGGCAGCTGCCCTCAGGGCGAGGCGGCCGCTGCGCCTGACCTTGCTGGAGGTCCTCTATTCCTGTGTCTGACATAAAACTTTAATAAACTCCGTCTACGGTCAGCATCCTTGCACCTTCCCCAAAGCAGTTTCTGCCGATCGCCCTTTCATTTCCACAACGAGCCCGAGCCGTTCTTAGGATACAACTGTGCGCCCTGTCTGTCTGGGGAGGGAACCTACGTGTGGTCAAGGCCACAGCTGGTGAAGGGCAGGGGGAGGCAGAGCCTGGGGGGCTGGGCCTGACCCCCAGGCCGCAGATGTGCATCGGGCGCCTGCTTTGGGCCGGGTGTGGGCTGGGTGCTGGGGGTGAAAGGGCACCATTACCACATGCCGTGGGGCGCTCGCTGCGGGCCAGGCACTATTTTAAACACTCCACATGCCGACACATCTGCCCCTCACGACAGCCCCATGAGATGAGGACAATCATTATCCTCAGTTCAGAGACGAGAACACCAATTGCCCGAAGCCACACAGCTAGAAAGTGGCAGGGCTGGGAGCCGATCCCAGAGACAGCCTGGACCCAGAGGCCGAGCACCTGCACGCCATTTTCACTTAGACTGGCAGAAAAGATTCTTAGAGGGGCTGCTGCCGCACAGCGTGCTGGGAAGAGTTACTCAGACCTGGTTCGAATCCCCGGCCCACCACAGATGTCCTGGCTCTTTGAACAGGCGAAGGCGCCTCAAGCTCTCTCTGCCCCCCTGCAGAACGGGGCCGACTCCCAAGGACGCTGCGATGCTACCAAAGAGAAGGATGCCAGCGGACGTGCTCCGTGAACGTGGGTCCGATCTGGCTGCAGAAGGGTGTGAGAAGCCGGACCCCCAGCCCCTCCTCGGCTGTTCGGGGGGCAAAGCTCCAAAAGCAAGGTATTCCGTTTCCCCGTTCCCAGCCAACCCCTGGCAGGCTGGCTTTCCTGGCTCCCCTTCAATGCTGACTGCTCTCCGTGGGCGAAGCCAGAACAGGCTGGAGACCTGAAGTTACAGGACACCCGGACAAGATGCTGGGGAGGATAGGAGATAAGGAATTTCCATCCCTGGAATCCGAGAACGTGAGAGCCGAGGCTGGCAGGGCCCCTGGGGATCGGCCGGCCCCATCTGCTCGGGTTTCGGATGGGAGACTGAGGCCCAGAGGAGGAGCGAGAACAGCCAAGGTCACACAGCCCCTTTGGGCAGAGAGCAGGGATCAGAACCCAGGTAAACGTGTCGGCCAGGTTCAGGGAAAATCCCAAATTCTCCTGGATTCCCCCACTACAAGGTAGGGAGGGGAAAAAATATTGCTCAAATGTAGAAAAAATGCCCCCGTTTTTGCCGGCCCAGCTTGCAGGGCAGCTCTCTCAGACTGAGCCTGCCCTTCTCACCTGGTCTCGGGAGCTGGCTGGCTGTCCTCTCGCTTTCCCCGCAATGGACGGAGCTCCGCGCTTTGAATCCAAACATCCCGAGACCCACAATGTGCCCAGGCCCCCCAGTCATGGCTACTCACCGTCCACCCCGATCTTGCCGTCCCCATCCTTGTCCCCAGCGGCCAGCAGCGTCTTGGTTTCTTTAGCAGACAGGTCCCTGGCGTCTGCAGAGAAGCCCTTCAGGATGGATCTGGGAAGAAAAGCCAGGGAGGGAGCCAGGTCAAGGGCACCTTGCAGGAACACCGTGCGGACGGTGGGCCGGAGTCTGCGTAGGGGGAGTGGGCAGCGGGGGCAGGAGCACGCAGCGGGCGGGCGTGCGCTGGGGCTCGGCTGGGCACCCCGGGCTGTGGCCAGCCCCTCCTGGGTGCGTGTGCGGGAAGGACAGGCTGTCCTCAGCCGAGGGCTGACCTCGCCTCGTCTACAGGCAGGACACCTGCAATTGCTTTTTATCCAGCCAATGCAACCAACACAAAAGTATCTCCTCTGTGCGGGGGCCATGCTGGAAACGGGGGTGGGGGTGGCGTGGGGGGCACAGAGATGACCTGGGAGGCCACCTGAAAACATAGGGGGGAGGGGCAAACGCTGGGAGAGAGAGCAGGCAGGGGGGTGGCTGCAGCGATGGGAGCAGAGCGGCGCTCTCGAGGGAGGCGTCCGGGACACCTGGGGTGAGGGGACGAGTCCTCCCCACCTGAAGGGCAGGAAGAAGTCTGCCCGAGTGTGTGCCTGCACCCGCGTGTGCACGTGGGGCACAGGTGGACTGGAGGAGAAGGTTGCAGACAAAGGGTATCCTCGTGGGATGGTTTGGCGTGAGGTCGGATGGACCTGGACGTTCTCACTCGAGAGGCTCCTCTCCGCCCCCACCCCCTTCGCTCTCTGACAAAACCCAAGGCCAGAGAGGGACGCAGACCCAGCCGGGCGGGCAGACACGCGCCAGGTGGCCGAGGGGGTGCGGCGGGGGCTTCCTCTGCTGGCACCGCTCTAAGTCATGACCTTTTCCTCCTTTGCTTTGCCCCCTGACTCCTGAGCCTCCAGGGCTGGTGACCAGCCCTGACGCACCAGGAGCTGCCCTGGCCTCGCTGGTGTGGAGGGCAGGGGGTCCCAGGGTGGTGGGAGGAGCCTGACAGCCACATGAAAATCCGTGAAACACTGGAGCTGTCGCTCTCTGTCTTGCCCATGGTGTTAGGCAGAGAAAAATGGCCTTTTGAATTGTATTAAATTATCAAGTAGCATCATTCCATTAACAACATTAAGTAGCTCTAATTTAACCTAGTTAGTGGCGCTTTCTGCTGAGTTTACTCTTCCGGAAGCAACAGGGGTCCGGCTGTTTTCTGTGAGGGGGGCGGAGGGAAGGGCTGAGGGAGTCCCAACCCCCACCCCCCCCAGCCTCCTGCCCGCCTCAGTTTACCCCAGCTCCTCCTCCTCGATGAAGCCGCTCTTGTCCTTGTCCAGGATGTGGAACACCTTCTTCACGTCCTCCGGGCTCTTCTTCTTCAGGCCCACCATCTGGAAGAACTTCTTGTGGTCGAAGGACTCGGCGGCTGCGGGGCAGAGAGGAGCCGTGGGAATGCCCAGGGGGAAGGACAGGAGGGAAGGGGGTGGGGGGGGCTGTCCCAGAGCTGGTTGACTGAGTCCTCCTCGCCGCCTCCACGGGAGGGGCTGTGGTGCCCAGGGTCACCTAGCTCGAGGTGGGAGAGGTCAGCTGCACCCCGGCCTCCCTGGCTCCCCAGCCTGTCCCCGCCTTCACCACCAGCCCCTGGGCTGAGGGTGGGGGCAGCCTTGGAAGGCAGAGAGGGTCCCTGGTTTTCAGGAAGCCTTTTGTGGGGTGGCTGCGTGGGGGTGGGCAAGGGAATTGGGGGGATGTGCACACGGTGTGTGCATTGGGGGCGGGGGGGGGGAGGCAGGGCAAAGGGTCAGGGCAAGGCCCCCTTTTTCTCAGCCACAGATTGAGTTGCCAGAAAATCAACACAGAGAGAGGGCAGGTTTCTCTCAAGGTCGCACACAGGAGGGGGAGGGGAGGACGCAAAAGTCCAGGCTCTGCTGTGGAAAGCAATTCTGGTGGGAGTTTCGGGGCGGGAGTGGGGGTGGGGGTGGGGGTAGAAGGCTCCCCGGGAATTCCCAGTTGAGCTTCCATGTGGAGGGAGCAAGGTGGGCCTCGGAGAAGGGGTGAGTGATGTCCGCAGCCTGGGAGGGTGGCTTCCCCCAGCTGCTTCATGCCCAGAGGAGAAGCCACCGAGCCAGGGGGGGAAAGGGGGTCCCCCTTCCCGGCTTTCTGAGCTCTTACAGAGGAGCTGGGGACGCTGCAAGAACGCCGCGCAGGGGAACGCGCAGTGTTAGGTGGAGTAACCTGTGTGTGGGGGAGGGGTCTTGGTAAGGGTCCCTTCTCCTCCCTTCGCCCAGGGCTAACCCGAGGGTGGGGGACCGGGACCTACTCCTGAGACCCCCGGTGGCTGCGAGGTGACCTTGAGCGGGTTGCAGACCCTCTCCCAGCCTCAGTTTCCCCCATCTGGGTGATGGGAGGGAGACCCGGGGCAGCTAAGCGCTCAAGTCCTGAGCCACTCAGAAAGGTGAGGCAGCCGCTTCCCTCCGCGGGCCGCCGACGGGGGCTGGAAGTTGCAAGCGCTGAAGATGCTCAGACCGGGTTGGGCAGAGCAGGGCGCCAGCGTCAGAAAGTCACCTCGCTCTCAGGTCGTTGGAAGGGGGCTCTGAGCCCCGGAGTGGGGGGTTCGGACAGTGGGGGGCGGGCAGCGCTGCCCACCGCGGGCTGAGATGAGACCTGGCCAGAATGGGTCGGAGAGAGGGCGCAAGTGCCTGCAGCCCCTTCCACGTGCCTTAAAGGGGCAGTCCCGAGCGCGAACAAGGACCCCAAGGGCCCGAAGGTCCTGTCTTCCACCGGGTCTTCGCCCTTGGTTCGGGACCCCAGTCCGCGAAGCCGGACACCCAGACTATAGCGCCGGCAAGTTTTCGGTCTCTGGGGCAGGGTGCCTGGCCTCCCCACCCGATCCAAGTCCCGCCCGGATTTTGGGAAATGCTGAGGACCCCACTCCCTGCCCTGCTGGCGCCGACCGGATGCACGCGCAGAGGGGCGCGGGGTGCGGGGGCCAGGGCGGTGGGTGAGGGGAGAGGGTTGGGGAGGGGAGCGCGCTGCTCACCGGCAAAGGCCCCCACCGCCTTCTTGATGTCCTCAACGCTGAGCAAGTCTGTCATCGACATCCTGCAACTGTTTGAGCGGGCAGAGCAAGTGCGAAAAGATTAAAAAGTGCCTTTCTCATCATTTCTGCTCATATGACCGGCGCTGCAGTGCTGTGCGCCCGGCGCACGCGGGCCGGCCTGGCGCAGAGCCAGGGGGCGCGGGGCGGGGCGCGCAACCGGAGCAGCTCCGTCCGCCCGGCGTCCCACAGGCGCCCCCGCTGGGGGTCCTCGCCATCCGGGGGGCTGCGGCCAGGGCGCCGGGGGAAGGGGCGGCCGCTGGGCTTTATGGGGCTCCCGCGTCACCAGCGGGGCCTGGAGGGCTCGCCTGCAGCCAAGGGCACGCAGTAGGGCAGTGAGGTCGGTGCACCTCGGAGGATGTCCCGCCGCTTCGGGGAGGACAGGCACGGGCAGGGGCCAGACCTTCACCCTCCTGGGGCCCTTGGTCCTGCCGCCACTCTCTCTGCTCCTACCTCAGCCTCCGCGCTGTCTGTCCTGGATGCAAATTTTATGCTGCAAAATCTGAGCGCTGAGGTCTGGAAGCCTGACCCACGGGACGCTGAGTGGGGGCGGCACAGGTGGGCGGGCGCTCCGTGGGCTCCACGCCCGTGCCCCATCCCGCATCTGGTCAGGGATGCACCTACCGAAACCTCATTTTTTTTTCTAGTCTGACTTTTCAAAGAACCCTTCTCAGACCTGGTAAACTACTTACTTTCCTGGTCTCCTGGCCACGGAGTAGAGCTCGGGTCCAGACTCCCTGTGCCCCCTGCTAAACTTTTGGAGGAGGGTAGGACGGGAGAGGCCGCTTGGAATCTCTACACACCCTCTCCTGTCTCCGAGCTGGAAGGGCTCAGGTGTGGGGAGAGGGTGGCACCTTCAGACCACGCTTTCCAGACGACCTAAGCAGGTTGATGGCCCAAACGTCATCTCTGGAAATGCGACACTTCCTGATCTGTAGACAGCCAGAAACCGGTTGCATTCTTTCCCACGGCCGCCCAAGGGTTCGGGCTGCAACCAGCTGCCTCTGGAGGGTGCGGAGCACTGGACAGGGAGTCGGGGTGTGGGGGGGGGCTGGGTTCCTGGGTTCCAGGTCTGGGGCCGCACTAAGTCGCTGTGTGACCTTGGGTTGTGGGCATCGCCCTCTCTGGGCTTCTGTCTCTCTCCGTTGTTTTGATGGTGTTGGTGGTCCCTTGGAAGGTGTGTGGGCAGCTGGGAGGGGCTGAGTCTGGGGGCCCATGGAGGGCAGGGTGGGCGGAGTTGGGGGGGAGAACTGCCCGGCGACCCAGTAGCTCAAGTTCCTTCGCGCTCACTGTCCACGCCGGCTCCCTCAGCTCGGCCCTGGACGGCTGCCCTTCCCGGAAACCTTAGCACCTGCTGGCTCTGGCTGCCCCCCTCCTTGTGAGTCAGCTCCTTCGGGCGACAGCCCGCCGTCTGGCTTCCAAGGCACCCAGGCTGCCGCTCCGGACCCGACCTGCGGTGGGAGGGCTTCGCCGGGCCCCTCAGCTGCCCTGCGGCCCCCGCCCCGGCCGGGCTGCTCACTCGGACGTGCGGGGCTTCTGTGCCGCCTCGTCAGCCCCGGCTCGGCTCGCTCCTGAGCCCTCGGCGGGAGAACCTGTTCCCAGCTGAAGGGCCCTCAGTTGCACTGGCAGGGAGACTGAGGCCACACAGAGTCGGCGAGTGGCCCAAGGACTCGTGGAGAGGTGGTGGCTGGGGGTGGCCCAATCCCAGGGCTGCTGACTGGGGCTCAGTGACTCCTCTGGGGGGCTCCCCCGCAGTGCCAGGGACCCAGCCCTCCGACCTCCCACACCCACACAGCTGAGTCCCCAGACTCTGCCCCTGGAGCCAAGGCTCCACGGAGACCCGTCCCTGTCCTCCTCCCTCCGTCCATCCGTCCTGCTGCAGAGACCTCCCACGTGGCTCCCTCTCTGGGCTGAAGTCCACCCACCCCGGCGCCCGATGACGTCATTTCAGCCCATCCACCTCCCACCCCCGTCCTCCTGCCCGCTCTGCCCACTGACCAGTCCACAGAAATCTGGCCCCGCCCCTCCGGTTTCACGGGTGGGAAACCTGAGGCCGGGCAGGTGGGAGAATGTGCCGCAGGCCACACCCGGAGGTAGGGCAGCCACCCCAGAACTCACGCTCCGGGGCCTGGGCTCCCCAGCTGCCGACTGTGCGGCACCCCACACCCCAGCCCCGCGTCACTGGAGGGAGGGGAGACATGGCAGCTCCTTCCGGCTGGCCCCTTCCCACCGTGCCCCTCCATCCTCCTCCGACCTCCGACCTCCGTAGCTGCCACTCACCTCGGTGGGGGAGGGGGGCTGGAACCTGCAGTGAGAGGCCGGGCTGGTGGGAGGTCCTGTCGGGCAGTGCGTCTGGTGGTGGGATAGCCACCTATATAGGCCTCTGCCCTGGCTATTTTGGGAGGCACCGCTCCCCCCAGCCCTCGGCCCCCTCCCCTTCCGGTGTCAGGTACTCCCCAGCGCCGTGCTGGGTGTCTGTATCACATTCGGTCTCCCTGGGCCCATTGAGCTGGGCCTATTAATAACGCTGGCCCCTGCCTCCCTTCACCACCCGAAGTCGAGGCTCAGGCCAGGCTCTCCTCTTCCACGAAGCCTTCCATGACCACTTTAGATGGCGGCAACGTTTCTGTCCTCCAAAATCCTGCAAGGAAAGGAGGAGAAAGGCTGGCAAAGGGGTGGAACAGGAATCGTCTCCCGCGCACAGGCCACGGGCTGGGCTCCGGTGCCCATATCATCTCCCTCAGGATGGCCTCGCGGGGCAGGGCGGTGCCCGTGCATGGGTGAGGGAACAGCGCGCGGGGGCGTTGGGTGGTGCGGGACTCACTACTCAAAGCGGTGGACCTGGAGCAGTCCGGCCCAGCGCCGGCAGGGGGTGCTCGAGTGCCGGGCGGGGAGGCTCCATCCGCGCGCTCGCTCACCAGCCTCCTCCTCTCTTTGCATCTCGGCCTCCCGTCTGTGAGATGAGCTCGAGCAGGGGCCAACCTTCCTCTGTGGACGAACTCTAGGGGCTACGGACCCCCTGGAATATGCAAGAAGTCGTGTGCAAGGGTGCTTTTGTGGAGCAAAGGCCCACAGCTTTCAGGAGACTCACAAAGGGAACTCTGGTGCGGTCTGCCCTGAGCTGGAGGAGAACACCTAGGGGGCGCCTTCTGAAAACATGAATGAGCTTCACAGATATTATGAACATCATGAATGGTTCCTCTCCTCACCCCCAGCCTGAAAAAGAATCCCCAGGGCGCTAACAGTGTCAACAGTCAAGTGCAGTTCGTCGAGTCCAGTCCTTGACCGGGACAGGAGGAGGGAAGCTACAGGAGTCCTTCACTGACCAAGTCCTTCACTGACCGTGGGCTCCAGGGGGTGGGGGCGGGGACAGCAGCGGGTGGGCTGGAGGGGGAAGCCGGTGTGGAGCCCGCCTGTGCCGGGGGCTGGGCGAGGGCGATGAAGACGGGAGGAGGAGCCTGGGTAGTATTTCTGGAAAGACTCTCCTCGGCTTGGGGGCTGTGATGGACGCATCCAAGCCAACTCTGAGTTTGTAAGCTGGGGGTCCACAGAAGGGAGCTAAGGTGCTGCTTTGGAAGGCGCTGGGTCTGGGGAGGAGGCGGGGCCGAGTGGGGGTGATGACGGTTTGGGGGTTGAGAACCCTAGGACGCTGGGGCTGGGAGGGCCTCCGAAGTGATGAACTACAACCGCTGGCGTTATCATGCAGAAACCAAGGCCAAGGTGATGGACCCAAGTCTCAGGGGAGTGGTGGACAAGTCGGGACTTTGTGCTGGGTTTGGGGTGCCGGGAAGACATTCCGGTGGGGACGCCAGTGAGGGGCTGGGCCTGGACACAGAGCTCTGGTGGTCATCAGGGAGGCCAAGGGCAGGGGCACGGCTGAGTTCAGGGAGGCGGGGACGTGGCAGTTGAGGACCAGCCCTCGGGGAAGGGCTAGGGCCTGGGAAAACATCACGCTCGTTCCTTGAACAACGTGCCAGGCACACTGTGCACTGCGTTACACTTTTGCCCTCGAACCTCCTTACAAGGTAGGCTTGGCCGTCCCCATTTTACTAGCAACGGAACAAGGCTCAGAGAGGTTAGGCCACTTGCCCGAGGTCACAGAGCACGGGGAAGACGTAAACCCGGGTCTCTCTGACCCGGAGCCCCAGCTTCTCTCGACTCCGCAGCTCTGCTTCTTGACGAGACCACCGGGAAGCAACACAGCGGGGGTAGTGCCCGCCAGGAGTGAATTCTCTGAAACAGGATGGCCTTCCTCTCTGTCCCCCTCTGTGCCCATGTTTTAGGGGGTGCGTTTATTGAGGACCTACTATGTACTTAGTGCTGTATCAGATTACTTCACGTTACCCTCATTGTAATCCTCAGACACTTGAGGAAAGTCTCAGAGAGGGTGAGGGCCTTGTGCAAAGTCACACAGCTGGTGAGTAAGTGAGAGAGTGAAGATTTACACTTACGGCTTCCAGTTCCGAAGTGCCCCCCACCCCCCACCCCGTAACACCTGCAGTAGGGTAGGGATATCCTAAAGCCTGAGTAGAGTATCTTGGAAAATTATTCAGTTCCTTTTGCTCTGAATCAGTTCAAGAGCCGTCATTTCATGAATTTGGCTTCACAAGGGGCCTTGATGCCAGGGAGTAGGTTTATCAGGCAGGACTTTTTTGACCGCAAGTGACAGAAAGCCCGGCTTGGCTGGATTTACTCTGTAACTATGTGTGGGACGGGTGTTAAACAGACTGATCATGGTGGTCATTTCGCAACATATAAAAATATCGAATCATTATGTTGTACCCCTGAAACTAATATCATGCTCTGTGACAGGTATACCTCGGTAAGAAGAAAAACATTTCACACCGCCTGATCCCCTAAAAAGACAACATGTAACAGGTAAGGCCATGAAGGTTCAGGTACGGCTTGATCCAGAATGCTGTTTTTAACTCTCAGCAATACCTTGGGTCACAGGGGCTACCTTCTCAGCCTGGCTGGCCCCTGAGGGTTACAGGAGGGCCCTCCCCTGCAGGGCTATAAACGGCTGAGTCAAGTCTTAGGGAGAGAGGGGGCCCACTGCCCCAGAACCCTAGAACTGAGTTTCATTGGCTGTGGTTAGCTTGGTTGGGACGGGGCAGGACGTCAACACCTTTGGAAGCGCTTGGGGCATGGACCGTCCTGGGACCCTCTCGAGAGGTGAGGGACCCTAGGTGGCCAAAACCACGAACGGTTCATTGAGTGAATCTCTGGGGGCACCCAGTGTGCCAGGCACCAGGGAGGTTCATGCATTAAGTCCTTGGTGAGTGTGATGACATTGAACTTCCAAGGAATGAGTCCCTCTGGGTCAAAGTGGCCTTTCTGGACTTGACAGCCCCAACGCCATCCTGTCCCCTGTGAGGCCTCTGTGTCCAGGTGGCAGAAGTGCCCCGGGGGCGTTGGCCCCTGGCTCTGGGGTCCTTGTTCTGCACCGCCGTGAGGCTGCTGGGTGCATAGATGGGTGACGCAGTGTGGGGACGCTGACCTCTTCTGTCCCCTGGCCCAAATACGGTGCCTGGCCTTGAGCTGGAGGCTTCCACATGTGTGCTGCAGAAGTGGGTCCCGGACATAAAAACTGAGGTTCAGAGAAGTCCAGTCACTCGCCCCCGGTCGCACAGCACGCAGAGACCAGAGACAGAGCCCGGTCTGTCTGCCTGCAGCCCTGTTTGGTGCTGTCCCCACAGGCCACACCGGCCTCCCAGCAGGTGGGGGGACAGGCCATAGTGTGCGGGTCAGCAGCCTCTTAGCTGCCCTGTGCCAGGAGACGAGCATTCAGCTGTTTGCTTCACTGGTGGTATTTCATGAGTTCACACTATTTCCACCTGCTGAGACCGAGAAGGAGACAGACTTCCTCAGGTCCGGGGACCTGGTGGGTGGGGCCACTGCTGCCGGAAGGAATGCTGTTCCTGAGCTTGGCCGTGGAGGCACCGTGTATTACATTGAAGGGGCTTCAGCCCTGTTCCTGAGGGGCAGGCTGCAGCCTTGTTCTCCCTCCCACCCCTCACCACCAACAGAGAGTCCTAAGGGTGGTACGGGGACACAAGTCCCTACTCTGGCCCTGCTGCTTACCCGCTGCGTGACCTTGAGCCAGTGGCTTCGCCTCTCTGGACCTCAGTTTCTTCATCTGTGAAATGGAGCTGAAGAGGAAGCTGTGGTGAGCGCTAAGCGACATCATGTCTGAGGAAGGGGTTTGGAGGGTACAAACTCCTACAGAAATGGATCAGATCAGGGTGCTCCTCCTTGTGTGGAGTTCACCCTTGACCTTGCCCTGCCACTGAGGGCGAGGACCCCGGCGTGTCTTTATATATAGAAATTCGGAGAAGCAAGGGATGCCAGCCCCTAATCACCCCTGGCTTCCCCGGGGTGGTCTCAGGACCAGGACTCCGTGGCCCTGCTGGGGAAGTCAGGGGCCACAGCTCGAGGGAGGAGGGGCGGTCTGAGAGTGTGAGACGTGGGAGGAGCCTGGAGCTCTGGGAGGAGAGCTGGGCGGGGCTGTCTCAGCTGAGGTGCTTGTGGTTCTTGGCCACCTGGGCTTGTGTCCTGCCCTAGAAACCCTGCCCTGTCTCCCTGGCGCTCAGGGGAAACCAGAGAAGAGTTCGGTCCCTGTGTGGGCTGGAACAGGGCACCCCAAGGTCACGGCTGTGGAAATCAAAAGACCCGGTAGAAATTGGTAACGGTGGTCTCTGGGGGGCTCCCGTCTTGGGTTGCGCATGGGGAAGCAGGGAGGGGTTGGTCTGCAGAGCCTTTCAGAGAGCTCCAGGCTCCCGGATGCCTGCTGACCTCAGGGGAGTGGACGCCAGCACCTCCCGAGTCCAGCTCGGGTCTCCAAGGTGATCGTAGGTGGTAAAGGCACTGGCATCTCCTCCCAGGCCTCTTCTAGCTCTGCCGTCACCATGTCGACGCACATCCCGCAGCAAAGAGTTAGAATGATCGCTGGAAGCGGTGTGCGTACGTGTATGTGTGCATGTGTGTGTTGTGTGTGCATGTGTCATGTGTGCGCATATATACCCTCAGGGGGCAGGAGATGTGTCCATGTGTTTTAGGGGACCCCTGGCGATGTACTTTTTACTGGCCACTGGCTGCCTGTGCCTGGCGCCTCCCCCAGGCGGCCCCAGAGCGCTAACAGCCCACGTGCGTTGTCCCCAGCACGCAGCATCTTTGGTCCAGATCAGGTCGCTACTCATGTTCTGAGCTCTCCCGTGGCAAAGGGGGTGCCTCCAGCACCATCTGTCTGCCCCTCAGTGTCATGGGCTGCATTGGGTGCCCCCCAGTCGATCTGTGGAAGCCGTAACCGCCAGGAGCCCGGGACGTCCCTGTATTCGGAGGTGGGGCCTCTACGGTGGTGATCAAGTTTGCCTCAGTCTCTGCGGTGGGCCCTGATCCAA